TCAATTACATTAACAACACCCATTTTTTAAGCTATAATTAAAATAATTCAGGCACTCAGATGTATTATTTTGGCCTCTATTACGTTGAAATTCCAAATAGTTAACTTGGGGATTGGTGAGATCAGTCTTGCGCCAATTTAGGTATAACTTGTGTGTTTGTTTAAGTTTTATTTTTGTTATTACTGAATTTAAGTGTATCCTGAGACTGCAAAGCAGGCAGATTTTTTTTTTTTTTTAAGTTACCATTCACAGTTATTTCTCTATAGGAGAACTGTTTTACTCTACAATAAAACCAAATTACAACAGACAACAAAGATGAACCCTTTTGCACATACAGTACTGAGTTGTCAACGAAGGCAAACATGGATGGGTGGATAGATGGGTGGACAGGACATATTGGGTATGTCTATACAGGGGGTGGAGAGCTCTGGTAGCATAGTGGCTAAGGCTAACCAGAAGGCTAAGACTGCTAACCAGAAGGCTGGCGGTGCAAACCCACCAGCCACTCCTCGGAAGGAAGATGGGGCAATCTACTTCCGTAGTGATACTGCCTCGGAAATCCAAGGAGGGATCCCTATGAGTTGGGTCCGACTCGATGGCACATAACAACAACAACAACATACAGAGGGAAGTGTACCCAAGACCATGTATAGGGTTGGCAGACAATGTTTCTTCAAGTGTATTGGTATGTTCTGTAAGAATTTCCAGATATATAGTAGAGCTGACAAGGGACAAGGTTGAAATCACTCATTGGCCATAGCCTGCTACCCAGAGGGAGTGAGTCACTGGACCTGTAGTCGCAGGGGATGTCAAGCTCAATTGGCATAACATACTACACGAAACATTGTTCCACATCCTACTTTGGCGAGTAGTGACTGGCATCTTAAAAGCTTGCAAGCAGTCATCTAGATGCAGTGATGGGTCTCTCCACATCCAGAGCAAAGAAGAATGAAGAAAACCAAAGATGCATGGAAACAATAGTCCAAGTGACTGGTACACCATGCAATCCTCAGCCTATATGACTATGAGACCAGAAGAACTAGATGGTACCCGGCTAACACTGTCAACCACTTGGAGGGCGATCTATGTAGGAGATCCTGGATAGAGTGGGTTGTTGTTGTTGTTGTTATGTGCCATGGAGTTGGCCCTGCCTCATAGCAACCCCTCCTCAGGTTTCCGAGGCAGTATCACTACAGAAGTAGATTGCCCAACTTTCCTTCTGAGGAGTGGCTGGTGGGTTTGAACCACCAGCCTTCTGGTTAGCAGTCAAGTGCCTTAAGCACTATGCTACCAGGGCTCCTACTGGATAGAGTGGGAGAACAGTGTAAAACAAAACTCAAAATCATTTAAAAAAAAAAAAAAAAAGGACCAGGTTTGCTGGTCTGATAAAGCCTGATGGAACTACTGAGACTATGGCCCCTAGCTGACCTTCAGGTCTGTAGCTGAACCCACTCCTGTGACTTCCGGCCGAACAAAAGACAGGCATCTGAGGTGAACATTTACACTAGGTAGATACACTCCTTGCAGAGAACAATCACGGGAGAGTAGAAGAGCTGTGTATACACAGGGAGATGGCTCGGGGGCAGGAGTGCATGGAGGGAAGGACACAGGGAAGAGGTAACTATGGGGAAGAAGTGGGAGGAGAGCTGTTGCATTGTGGGAAATTGTAGTCAATGTCATGAGATAAACTGTATGTGATCTGCTATATGGAATGTGAATTTGCTCTGTAAACTTTCAGCTAAATCACAATTAAAAAAAAAAATTGCAAGGAAAATAAATAGGTGCTGCAGGTGATAAGGAGATTGTAGCCTCCATCCAGTTTCAGTCTGTTCATTTATTCAACAAATCTTTATTGAGCACTCACTGTGCACCTGGAACTGTTTTTGTATAAGCCAATGTTACACTTTAAACTTCAAAATACATTAATACTAATAAAAAACCATTTTGTCTGTTTTATGTGGGAGGGCTTCGTACAAGATTTCACTTAAAAAAATGAAAACATTAAAATGACTCTGCTTTGTAAAATTTCACACAAATCACCATAAAAAGTTTTAAAAAATGAAAATATTTTGAATTCTTCCCAAAAGTATTGTGATGATTTAAGACATGGACTTCTGGGCCAAATAAAACTGGGATCAAATCCTAGTTCCAACACTTCCATAGCTGTGCAACCTTAGGCAAGACGTATTATCTCCTTAAGATTCACTTTTCTTAACTGTATAATGGGGATCATAATCCTGACCTCACAGAGTTGTTGTAAGGATTAAAAGTAATCTTGAATCCCAGGGTTGATGGGGTTCAGAAATCCACATAACAGCCCTTTTAATAGACAAATTAATTAAAATAATGAATTCAGAAAATTAATTCAAACAAATTAATTTGACAAATATTTATTGGGTCTTTACTATGTGTGGTGCTGGTCTGGACTCTGGTGAAGAGCCTGAGACCCTGAGGTGACCAGGAATGTTGACGGTGAATAGGAGACTGGGACCTAAGACATACAGCCAGACCCTAGACTCTCCCCTGAACAATAAGCTTTTCCTTGTCCACAGAGCTGCAAATGTGAGGAATACTATCACCATAATGCCCTGGCCTGGGCAGCTAGCAGGGCCCAAGGCCCAGTCAGCTTGCCTATCAGCCCACCCCTCTCCTCAAGCTAAAGGATAAAACACACAAAGCCTTTAAGCCCTAGCAAGAGAGCAGATTCTGTGTGTCCCCCACACACACTCCAGGTCATTCAATTTCAGGGAAAAGCAGGGACTTAGGGAGAACAAACCAGGGGAAAATAGGTCACAGCAGGACAATGGTAATCCCCCTGATGGCTGGCCAGAGCAATAGGGGCCCTGCTCCTAGAAGCAGGCTGCTTCTAGCCACCCACCAAAAGTGGCTTGAGGAAGACCCATGGGGTCTGGGGCACCAGCACCATCCCTTTCAGGGTGAGGGGGCCACCCCACACTGATACACCTTTCACACATTGGGGTGATTTTTCAGTCCAAGCTCCTGCTGACTGGAATGCTTCCTATGTTGGGCTTGGAGATGTTATCTTTTACTCCACACACAAGTGCATCTTTTATACCCAGTTCTAGGCTGAGTGCTAAAGATACAATGAAAACTCTGACGGGGTCCTATCCTTGGGTAGCCCACAGTGGGGAATTCTGACCCGGACCCAGACAGTGACAAGGCAGTGTCATCATTGCTGAGACAGGATAGAAACATAGGAGGCTTCTGATCTAGCTTAAGGTCAAGGCTAGGGAAGACTTCCTATAGGAAACAAAGAGTAGGAGTTTTCCAGGTGGAAATGGGCAGGCTACTCTGCGCACAGAGAATAGAGGTACAAAGACCTAAAGGCATGAAAAGCTGAGCTTTCTTTCTGGAAAATTCTTGTGGTTCAGGGTATAGCTGCTACAAGTCAAAGGGGCCAGATCTGAGAGGGGTTTTCCCTGAACTTTTTCCTTCAAGTGATGTGAGAGGATGGTTGATGAGTGGTTGGAAGGCAGAAATGGGGATAAAAGCTCAGGTGGCTGAGTGTACACACAAGTCTTGGAGTGGTGGCTTAGAATAGGGTCCTGGAGATAGTGGCAGAGAGTAGAGGGCTGATTGAAAGAATTTAGGGACCTGGCTGGCCCCATTTTCTCTGAAGTCTTCTTTCCTCAGTATTCTGCCCATGCTGATTCTCGCCTTTTGTCTTCAGCGGGATGAGCAGGGAGTCCTCACACACTTCATGCTCTCATGCCACTGCTTCAGAAAGCCTTCTGGGATTGTTTTGACTTCATGCTAAACATCTCAAAGAACACGCTTGTGAAGAACAGAGGCCAACTGAACCCTCATAGTGACACAGGCTTCTGCAGCTCCAGGTCATTTCAGGGCCTTGACTGTGGACTCCAACAGGGGCTCCCCTCAGACACATCAGGACCCCAGAGAGGCAGAGGACAAGCATGCAGTCTTGAAGGCTGAGTTGTGTCTTATGGTAGTCAACCAAGGGAGGAGGAGGAGAGATGGTAAGGAGCCTGGAGGCTGGAAGGAGCTGCAGGAGGTCGGCGGGCAGGGGAGGCGCAGGGATTAGGGAACACTCCACACCTCCCCTGACCCCTGGAAACCAGAATAGTATAATGGGGCTGAGAACTCCAGCACCACTGACCAGGCTGCCCACTCTCCCAATTAGCCTGGGAGAGCTAAGAAAGGCCTGTGAGTTCTGGTGGATCTCGGGTCTCCACCGGAGCCCCTGGGAACTGCACGTAATGGAAAGCTCTGTGGAGCCGTCGGGAAAGGATTGTTTGTGAAGAGAAAGATTGAGTCCCCAGCGGCGGCTCCCCGCCCCGCCCATCACAAGGACCCATCCCCGGGCTCAGCTTCAGGCTCAGCCCCCGCCCCCTCTCTGCAGCCGGGAGAAAGGAAGGAGCCGAGTACAAAGAACTGAGTACAAATATGAATATAGTTTGCCCCCGATTTTAGAAAATTCCCTTTACCCCACTTTGCTTTTAGGAAAGACCTACGTTAATACCTGTTTTCGCTAAACGTCCAAAGAGGATTTCCTCTTTTAGGAAAAAAGGCGAAAAGCGAAACCAACATGCAACGTTTGTTTTGCACCAGGCGGTTAAAGAGCTAACACATGCCACCCCAGCAACAATAGTGGCGTCGTCAAACTTCTTCCCTGGGAACCACACTCAGCATCTCTTCATCAAGCCTCCACAGGTTTGAACTGTATCTGTGAACACTATATGTTAGTGTTATTTTAGGTTTTATACGTTACTTGGTACGATTTCCTGGGTTACTTTTTGGGTGTGGAAACGCTCACATTTTTTTTCCCATATAAATTAATCATGATTGCTTCTTTGCTTTATGCCATTTTGGCTTAAAAAAGGTTTCATAGGAACGCTCTACTTTCGGGTAGCGAGGGAACCCTGTACCTTTAATGAAAGTGGAGCGGAGCGTGCGCTGCACAGCACCCAAGGCGGCCTCCCAGGTACGGATGAGAGGAGCGCTGCTACCCGAGCTGGCGACTAGGCCAGAGGTCCCAGGAGGCAAGCGACTGCCAGCGCGGCTGCCAGTAGCGGGGGAGCGGGGGTCGGGGCGGACGCGGGCTCCGTGGCTCGCAGCGTCTCCTGGTTGGTCTCGGGGCCCGCACCGTGCTCCCGGACGCTCACAGGGGCGCCGCACAGAGTGTGCAAGTTATCCGGGTGCGGGGCCCGGCGAGCCTCTTGCTGCAGCGACTCCCACACAGCGGCTGCCTCCTCCGGGCAGCCCGACAGGACTCGCGAGGCGCACGCGTGGAAGTCATTCCAGGACCTGTTAAAGGCGTGGGGTTAGGAGGATTAGGCAGAGCGAGGAGCGTGGCAGGGATCGGGTCGCAGTCCTCGCACCTACCCTTACCTACAGACGGTCTCCAGCTCGCCTCCACGGCCCATGCCATCCCCCAAGCGGATCAGACACTCGGCGAAGCCCTGGTATATGGTGTCACAGCGGCCTGGGCCCGCTGCAGCTGCTGCTAGGGGAGGTACAAAGGCAGAAGCGGAGTGGTGAATAGTAGCTGCGGTGAAACAGACCCGCCCTCAAGCCCCCAGGGGCTTGTTTACCCAGAGTGCTTGGGGACGTGACTCAGCGTGAAAAGGACGCCCCAGGGAACTGAAGGGCGCATCTAGGGATCACCTGCCTCAGCTCCCTCCGAGGCACAACTTGTACCAGGATACATGCCGGAAGAAGGGGTTTCGAGTCTCTGGGGTGGGGTCCTCTTCTGAGCCTCTGGGGCCCCAGGTCTGGTAAGGGTGGTCCAGCGGAAGGAGCAAGGACGCAGTGGAAGGGGGCGGGGTTACAGGGCCCCAGGCAGCATCCAGTCTCCCAGCAGCTTAGATGAGCTTACCCTGGCCAGCCCACCTTGTACCCAACGACAAGCGTTTTTCTGACGGGCTAGACAGGATAAAAAGGGATTGGATCCAGGCCAGACACTCCTAAAGGGCCTAAGGGATCCCACAGGTTAGGAGTCCTGCAAGACACCATGTCTCCCTTCATCAGAAGGAGGTATGTGAAATTTTGGGATCCTTACTCCACACCCAGGAGCTCTGGTAGCGTAGTGCCTAAGGCATTTGACTGCTAACCAGAAGGCTGGCGGTTCAAACCCACGAGCCACTCCTCGGAAGGAAGGTTGGGCAATCTACTTCCATAGTGATACTGCCTCGGAAACCCAAGGAGGGGTGGCTATGACTTGGGGCAGATTCGATGGCACATAACAACAACACTCCACGATCAGGAGCTCTAGTGGTGTAGTGGTTAAAGGTAATTGGCTGGTAAACAAAAGGTCGGCGGTTCGAACCCAGAACCTCTCCAGGAGAAAGATGAAGCAGTCTGTTTCTATAAAGATTTACAGCCTTGGAAACCCTAAGAGGCAGTTCTACTCTGTCTTGTAGAGTTGCTGAGTTGGAATCTACTCCATGGCAATGGGTTTTTTACGCCACAACGGGGGCTTAGTTCCCGCCCGTCACTTTCTGTCCTGAAGCCACTAGGATACCCTGGCCCCACGTTATCCTCTCTCTGAAGCCCTCGCACCTTGGAAGCTCTAGGAAAGGCTGCACTCCGGTTCCCACCGACAGCCTAGACCCAACCTAGCCGGGGGCGGGAGGGAGTGAGTGCAGCCCCGGCTAGGCAGACCGGGTCCCAGATGCCCACACTCACCAAGAGGTGGTAGCAGCAGCAGCAGGAGCAGCAGCAGCCCCAGAGCGCGGGGCGGTTGGCAACCGCCGTGGCGGCCACGGTAGCAGCTGCAACAGAGCATCTTCCCAGGCTCAGAGTCTAGTGCCAGCACTAGCTACTGGGAGTGCGGCCCATCGGCCCAGCCCCCGGAGAGAGGGGCCACGATTGGCTGAGAGCCGGGGGCAGGGCTGTGAAGCTAGCTGGCGGCTCCGCCCCCAGTGCCCAGATTGACAGGAGTGAGGCAGGACACCTGAGAGAAGCGCCCCAGGCCACAGGTTGGCATTAAGGCGACCCCAGAACCTTAGCCTTAGAGGAGAGGGGAGGCTCTGGTAAGGTTGTTATGTAGATGAGGGTGGGTGCCTAGGTCGCTGGGGGTGGCTTAGAGTTGGCCTAGACAGCTTCACACAGGATGAAGAGAGGGGTCAGGAAACAGAGAGGACCATTTCAGAGCTGCACCAAAAATACACCAAAAACACACACATATTCCATTTTATTCCAAAAGCATTTAATCGAATTTCTCAATGTTTTCAAAAACAGAAAGATCCAAATCAGAGGTAAAAAGGAACGTGGAAAATTCAACTCAAGTGGTGTCACGATCTTGGGGTCATGTTCTAGGTGTGGCAGAGCCCAAGAAGGCATAATATCCATTCTGGGCCCAGCCTAAGCCTGCTGGCTACCATAACCTGTAGACCACACCAGTGCCCTGTCCCCACACACCCGGAGATGGAGCCTGAGCAGTTAAGGGCAGACATGACCTCTCCTAGACCTGTCTGCTGGGCTTCAGTACCACCCCATCCTTGGACAAGGTGGGCTTGGTTGCTAAGGGAGGCTTGGGGCTACAAGGCCGTGCAGCATGAGGCTGAGACGCCGGGCTGCTTTGCCAAGTGAGTTGTGTGGCTCAGCCTGTAGGAATTGGAAGAGCTTCTGGCGCACCTGGGCCATGACAGAGCCCATGTGGTCTCGAGTGATGGGGTCACTGTGGTCCAAGTGCATAACAGCCTCCTCCAGGTAGCTGGGGTGGGGAAAAGGAACAGGCTACAGACGGGCTCCAGCAGAAAGGAGTGCCCCCTGGTGGCACCGAGGCCTAGAAGGACTGCTGTATAGGAAGCAGGGGGGCTCGGGGAAGTGTTCAGGAAGGGAGCCAGGGAGGTCCAGGAGTCTCTGTCTGGAACTCCTCCCAACCCAAGCACTTCCCTGGCTCCTATCTGCCCCCACTCACCTGAGTTTGAGGTCCGTTCGAGTGCCAAGGTCGGAGGCTAGCTGCTGGATGAGGGAGAGGAGCACAGGCTGGGAGAGTGGACAGGGTGGTTGCCCAAAAACCTGGGCTGGGTCCACAGTTTCACACACATAGAGCACCAGGTTCAAGTCAGCGGCAGTCAGGGCCTGTAGGGAGAACAGGGGAACAGCATTTGTAGCTAGTGCTGGGTGGAAAGCCTGCTTCTGTGTGTGTGTGTCAGTGTGGTTTGGGAGAAAATGACCATAAAGTGGGGTGCTTAAGGGCTCCACAAGGGGCTGCTCAGGGTTCTAGGGAGAAAGCCCCATAGGGGTACATTCTGACCCCAGGGGATCAGGAAAAGTTTCCTGAAAAGGGCAGTTGTAAAATAAGATGGGTTGTAGTGGGGAGAAAGGTGCTTAGGCAGAGGGAGCAGCCAGGGAAACAGCTTGGAGACCTAAGAGAATCAAGAACTGTCCACAGGGGCCTGATTTCCCAGAGGCTGAAGGGTGGCATGGAATATATGACGTATGGACTTTATTAGGAGACATGGGGCCCGCCTAATATTGCCTGGCGTACCTGCTGAAAGGCCTGATTGAGGTGGCCCTGCTGTAGCAGCTGTAGGATGTGGGCTTGCTGGGCCTGGCAGTCGAGGTGGGCAGCAGGTACTGGTGTGCCAGCAGCTGAGCGCATGGCCTGCATGATACTGGAGGTGACGGCAGCCTGCTGCTCCTTGAGTGCCACACTCACCTCACCTTTTACTATGCGCTGTACCTGGGCTAAAATGGACTCCTGTAGGCTGCAGAGGGAAGTGAGAGGAGATGAGCTGACCAGGAGCCCAGTCTGGCTCTGCCTAAACCCACTACCCTGCCCGTGCCCTGGCCTCACACCTGCTCACAGCAACGTGCAGCTGTTGCTGTACTTCGGCCCGAACGCTGCTGGACACGGTGACTGCCATTTGCTCAGTGGCACCCTGCAATGTGCTGACCAGGCCCCGCAGTTGGACTAAAACAGGCTCCCTTGCCTCCTGTTCCCGTGCCTTCCGACTCTTCATGTGGCTCTCTAGCTGCTGTAAGTCTGAGGAGTGACCACAGGAGCCATGAGAGGGTGGTAGGAGAGAAGGAGACAGCCCCTCTTGCCTTGGGTCATATGACCCCACTTACATTCCTGTGTGCCCAGCCGGAAGCTATCATTGATCTGTTGGAACATGGCCTGGCAGCTCTTCTCGAAGGCAGGCAGCACCACACTCTGGAAGGCTTCCCGGTAAGCGGCCTGCATCGGCCCCTGTAACGTGTCTGCTGCTGCTCGGGCAATAGCATCTGTCAGGTTCTGGGGATGGATGAAAGGGCTGAGTTGAAAGCCTGAGCTCCACCTGGCCTAGCCAGACCCACTAGCCCCTGCCCTGCCACCTTGGGTCCTATAGTACCTTGGACTTGAGCAGCTTGGAGATGTTCTCTTTCATGGTGCCCTCCACAGCCGTAAGCTTGGTGGCTACAGAGCTGCTCAGTTGGCTGGCCACAGGCTCCAAACTCCTGGAGACACCTAGGGCAGTGTGTGTGTGTGGGGGGGGGGGGGGGGGGGGGGGTTATGAGAGGAAGTTTGACAGGTAGTCCCAGTCTCGCCTGGTCCACCTAGAGGAAGGCCTGTGCAAAACTCACATGGAGGCACCGTCTTCTTGATCTCGTCCCGTATGGTGCGCTCCAGCCGCCCAGCCACAGCCGAAGACAGTGCCTGGGACAGCTGCTGTGTCAGCTGCTCCTGCAGCTGCCCACCACGCTGCTGCCCCTCGGCTAGTGCTCGCTCTAAGCGCCGCTCTGTATCACAGCTAAGGAATAGGTTCGCAGCAGATCCCATACATACCCCAAGAATGCTACCTCTGCCCCTATGCCATCCTATGCCCACATACAAGGATACGCTCCTGCTCATGCCGTGTCTCGAGCGCACGTTCTACGTGACCTGTGACGGTGCTCTGAAGGCCTTCGAGCTGGGAGCACAGACGCTGTAGGAGCTCTTCTTGGTTGTGCTGCAGCTCTGCTAGCTCTCTCTGCTGTTGCCAAATTATTGCTGGCCAGCCCTCAGGGGGCTCTGCCACCTGCCAGGAGCACCAACAGTCACATGACACCTGACCCACCCATCCCTACACACTAGGCCAGGGAATGTTCTAGAACCCTCCCAATCAGGGCGCTCACCCACTCACCTGGTGCTCCGTAAGCCGGGATCCCACAGCTGAATCCCTGCCACAGGCAAGAAGCACCTCAGGCCACATCAGGCAGCCTGGTGACCACCCCCACCCTGGCCCCAGGACTGCCCCCTACCCGTTGTCCTTCTTGCCCTTTCTCTTGAGCTTAGGTGAGGCCCGAGGGGACCCCTTGGTCTTCCAGTCCTTGGCAGGCAGCCGTGGAGTGGGAACTTTGGTGCCAAAGCCCCCTGAGGCAGAGGCAAGGCTTGCAACCTCGTCATCATGGTCACTGTAGGGAAGGGAAGGAGGGGGAAGCGCCTGCCCCCTCACTGGCCCCACCTCAGGAGGGGAATGGGAGGGCCATAGGGGTACCCACCTTTGCTCAGCACTGGCATCCTGGCTGTCATGTTGCTGCAGCAGGTGATAAGGTGGCCGGTGGAAGGCCAGGCTCTTGTGCTTTTCCTGGAGCCCATTTCTGGGGCTGGGGCAGGGGAAACAGGCTGACTCAGCGGTGGATAACTCTACTTGTGACCCCTCACCAGCACACTCAGCCCCTTCCAAACTCACCTCTCCGCCAGGCTGCTGCAGGTTTCACGAGTAATGTCGGGGGCTGTAGGCCAGACCTGAGTGTCAGGGGCCGTGGCCTCTTGGGTCAAGGCTGCCTCCAGGAGGGAGGGGGCGCTATGTCGATCACCATCCCCACTGCCTCCTCCATCTAGGCCAAGCTGCAGGTGGAGTGCTGAGGCAGCAGAGGCCATACTGTCTGGCTCAAGGCCCTCAGGAGCAGAGGAGCCAAAGCCACGGGACAGGGCCTCAGATGCAATCTCGGGGATGTCCTGAGACAGGGCAGTGGAGGCTGAGGAGATAACGTCGGGGGATCGGGTCCGGCTGGGAGATGCCTGCGGTAGCCCCAGGGGCTCCACCTCCTGCAGCTCCAGGGATAGTGAAGAGGCAGCCGTGGGTACCTGAGGTGATCCAAAGACAGAGCTTCAGTGGTGGGAGGGAAGAGTTAGGGAGCACAGAGATAAGGCATTGGTGTCAGTGGTGATGAGGGAATATGCAGGCCAGAAACGGGGCCACAGCCCAGGAGGCAAAACAATAGGGGTAGGAAGGCTGGACTGATGCCCTCCAGGGAACCTGGCAGGCTGAGGAGACATCCAGAAAAATGTGGGGCATTGGACACAGAATAGGACCAGCAGATGGGGTGCTAGGGAGGAGACTGCTGACAGCCTTCCTTGCAGCCACCCACTTACTCCTCTGCACTGCACATACCCCACACACACACACCTGCACAGGCCCCTTAGTAGTCAACTTGTCGGCTGGGCCTGGGAGCAAGCCTGGGAGGAGGCTGCGCGGGCTTGTCTGCAGGCTGCTGCTGCTCATTGTCAGGCTGCTGTCAAGTTGCAGCTTGGGGCTCAAGGTCAGCTCCTCAGGTGGCCTGGTGACAGGAAAGCTGGGGTGTCAGCACTGAGAACTTGGCATTACCTGACACCAGACCCTGCTATCCCCCAACTCTGGCCCTACCTCACCTCACCTGGGCAAGGAGGGGTCCACGGCCGAGGTGCCGCTCATGGCAGACACAGCTGTAAGGGAACTGCTCCCGCTGCTGCTGCTGCTAGTGGGGGATGCAGTGATCTGGGCAAGACACAGAGAGTAAAGGCCATGGGCTGTGGGTGGGGTGTTGCCAGATCCTCTTACTCTGGGGCCCATGTACCCTCCCTCAGCACACCTGCTGCAGGGAGGCACTGGGTGTCATGAAGGCGTCAGGCGTCATGAGCTTGGGCTTGGTCTCACTGCTCAGACTAAGGAAGTCAGCAGGTGCAGGCAGCTCCACAATGCGGCGAAGGTCAGGCTGGGAGCCATGAGAGGCTGACCCCAAGCCATCGGGGGCCAGCTCAGGCCGAGACTCTCCAAATGCTGGGGGGGAAATCTTCCACTTGAGTTGGGTCTCAGACCCTGGTCAGTCCACCCGCTTTCTTTCACCCCCCACTCACCAAAGTCCTCGTGGGCAGTGTGAGTGGGGAGTGGGGCTACCACATCTGGGTTAAGCTGCGGCTGGAAGCGAATCTGCACATCTTGCAATGCCCTGCAGGAAGAGATGTGGAGGAGAGAGGACTCCAAGGGGCCCAGACAGCAGCTCAGTGGGGTGAGGAGGGGCACAGGCAGGGCCTTGGTAGCCTCCCGAGCCTACTCACTTGGTATGCACACAGAAGAGTTTGATGAGCACACCAGCTGCAGACTCCACAGCACCGACTCCATGGGCACCATCTGAAAGGACAGTGGACAACTAAGCCCCTGGCCCTTTGTGCCTCAGCCCTGACCTGTCCCCACGCCCCCATACCAACAGAGACCTCAGCCCTGAGGCAGCTCACCAGCCCCCAGGCTGTCGTTCTCCTCCTCGGCAGGCAGCACCTCAGTGTGACGCAGCCGGCAACGACTTACAACCTGGATACCGAAGCTCAGCACGGGGTGGGTGAGCAGAAATTCCGAGATGGAGCTGAAGCAGGCATGGCCTTCCTCCTGGTTCTGCAGCAGCTCCATCACATACAGGACCTGTGAAGCCAGGCCGTCTGTAAAAGCTCGGAAGCTGGGAGAGCTATGTGCCATACACGCTTCCCTCCCGGAGGAACTGGCTCTGCCCGGGGAGCCCCAACTGTGCCTACCTTCCGCTGCACGTCACTGAGAATCAGGTACTCTGCCGAGAGGTCCAGACAAACCTTAAGGCTGGGGGGCACACTCACTGAACTGAAGATATCTGGGGAGAAGCTGGGAAGCCAGGAGGCAGCGTCAGTGGGACTGAGAGGGTTGAAAGAAGCTGCATCCCCAGCTCTGCCAGCCCTGGCCAGATACCACCCCTGCCTACCGAATGGTCTGCAGGCAGGTCCAGGACACTGTGCACCACATCTTAAGCTCCCGATTCTGGTCAGCACCAGTAATGAGGAACCTCCAGAAAGGGACCCTGCAAAGCCACAAGGCACTGGCTGGCTGACTGAGCCTCCTGCTTGAAGCCGTGTCCAATTCCCCTATCTGCCCACCTGCCCACTCACTCACTCAGGGTCCTGTTTCTTGTGGTTGTCACAGAACAGGAGGCAAGAGAGGGGGCGCCCATCATGAGGCTTCCACTCGTGCAGACACCTGTAGCCAAGCACATGGGAGCCTCAGTGGGTGGTCTGGTTCTCTCTCTGGGGGAAAGGGGTCCCCAGTCCTCAGGTCTTGTGTTACCTTGGCTCATCCTGCCCCTCAATGTAGATCTGCCAGAACTTGACGTAGCCATCATGGCTGGCAGTAGCCAGGACAGTCCCATCCGGGGACAGAGCCCCTTCACTCAGGCACTGGGAAGAACCCAAAGAGCCTCGCTTTGCCACCTGGCTTCCCAGATGAGGACACGAGCAAGACAATTAATATAGAAGACCAGCACACTTGTGTGAATGACTGAAGGGGGCTGTGGAGAACACCCACCAGGGTGTGGGTGCAGCCAGGTTAGGAGTGCACTCTACAGGCAGGGCCACTTTGTGCTCAGAGTCGCATGGGTACAGTGCCAGTCAAGTTGCCTGGGCAGCTGCAGATAGATATAGGGGACAGACAAGAGCCTTAAGGAAGAGGGGGCAGGCAGGGCAGACAGTTGGCTGGAGGCTTACCGTGCTGTGGCCTTTCACCACGATGAAGCCCTGCTTGATCTGGCTGACATCCACAGGCCAGGTGCTATGGCTGGAGCGGAGCATGTCCAGGTCCCACACCTCAGCCTGCAGGAGGAGGACGTAAGTATGCAATGTGCCAGCACCATGGCTGCTCTGCCCCTGCTCCCACCTTGCCCAATCCCGTCACCCGGTCCTCATGCAGCAGGGCCACTGTTGGGCTGCCCTCCTCGCAGCAGTCCTCAGTCTCCTCAGGGATGAAGGGGCACCAGATGATCCTGCGGAAGTGGTTCAGTGGGGTGCCCTCTGGCTGCCGGATGTGGACTAAGATCTCTTCTCTGAGCATGATGTTAAGGGCCAGATAGGGCATGTCTAGCAGCTCCAGCTCCTTCCACCCACCCCCATGAAAGGATACTGAATTTTGCCATTAACCAGAGCCAAGCGCCACACAAACAGGTTGCCTGCTTCATCTAGGCAGGCCAGCTGTGGGGAGTTGAGGTGTGCAAAGGCCAGATCGGCCACACTGCCTGTGAAGCCCTTGAGCAGAGTCCGCTCCGATGTGCTGACACTGATCACCCGCACCATTGCTGAGCCATTGTTAGCAGCTGGAACCAGGAGAGCAGTGGGCCATGAGCAAGTCACCAGGCCCAGGCAGCAGCAAAGTCCTGCCCTTGCCTGCCTCAATCCCACTACCAAGGTCTCAAGTTTGGTTTTCCCACCTAGTTCCCCAAGGCCTGGCAGACAATGAGAAGAGCCTTCTGTTGTGTCCTAAGATCTGAGCAGGTTAAGGGCCTAAAAGTGATGTCTCGGCCGTTAGCACAACACTTCCCTCCTTGCCCCTGCCTACTCACCCCGAATGGCATAGGCCAAGAAGGAGTTGGACACAGCAATCAGGTTGCCATAGTAGTATTTCTGCTCCCAGTCATACTTGGCTACAGGCTGGATTTTCACCTGAGCAGCAAGGGTGAAGAAGGTCATAGAAGCTGAGGGATGGGGTGACTTCCATGATCCTCAACAATCCTAGTCTCTGGGAAAGGCCACAGGTGCAAACCCAGCCACTCATTCACCCCATAGCCAGTCTTGGCTTCCTGAGACTGGGGCACCATATATTTTGTCAAGGTGGTCCCTACAGGACTGGCAGCATTGGGGGAGGGGTGGAAAGGAAAGGGAGAAACTGGGTGTTTGTCCCCATCCATCCTATACCCCACAGCATTCTGGTGCCCACCTTGTTGCTCCCCCGTGCCTTGCTTGAAATGCTGGAGTCACTGCTGGCCACAATCTCCACCTCCTTGGCCAAAATTCCAATGCAAGTGGAACTGTCATCTCCCGAGAGGCAGCTGGTGGTGAGAGGGACACACAAGCCTTGTCTCTTGTCTACCCAAAACTCAACAGGCAAAGGAAAGACACAAGATACGGACCTCCTGGTCTAGTCCCAGATGCCCAACACTACCTGCGCCCACTGGTCCCCAGATCAGTCTTGCAGCCCCATTATTCATCACTCTCTTTGGGAATGAACCAACTTACTTCTTTTTAAAACCAGACACCCAAACTGGCCTCACTCTTGATCCCAGTATAAGCTCAATGAGGTTAAGTGCTCTGCCCTAGCCATCCAGAGAGCTTCTGTCTCCTATCTCATGCCTTCAGCCAGCAACTGCCTCAGAGACACCATTGCTACAAATGCCACCTCCCTAGCCCTCCAGGCACTCACATGACCTGCTTCTCCTGCAGGTTAATGGGCGGCATGGCTCGGAGACCAGGCTTGCTTGTCGAGTTACCATCACCTGAGCTGAGAGGATCTGGAACCAGGAGCCCGTTGAGATCCCCATTGTAGGCACTGGATGGCCTCTGGCTCTCTGCACTGGGGCCTAGGAGCAGATGGGGCCACCTGATGCGGTTGTCAGACCTCCCCACTGGCCTCTCCTTCTACAGAGCATCTTTCCAGTACTGGGAGAAGTTCTCAGAACGCTCAATGGAGAGAGACATGTCCATGGGGAGGAGAGTGACTGTGGGCCCTTTGCTCATCCCTCGTTCCATAACCCAACGTGTGCCAGGACCAGCCACGAGCATGAGGCTCTTCTACCTTGGGGAGGGCCCTCCAATGCCAGTTAACACTCAAGCCTGCGTCAGCATGAGGCTGGAGGTGGGGGAGGCAGGGACTCTGTTCACATGAGGGAGGGCACAGAAAGGATCAGAAAACACTTCATGGAAGGGAAGAGGTGCCATCAGAGTCTACATGGCCAGAACACACAAACACAGGAGGGATGGGAGGAGGAGGAAACAGGCCGCAGAGGCTCTGGATATGATACTAGAAATGCTCAGTCTTTCTCCACAGGCAATGAGAGCTGCAGATGAGTTTTAAACAGGAAGGTGACAGAGACAGCTCTGGTCAGCAGGCTCATGGTGCTAAGGCAGGACACAGGACAGTTGAGACTCTGGGTCAGAGATAAAACCAAAACCAAACCCACCACCATCAAGTCGACTCTGACTCATAATGACCTTTGGGTTTCCGAGGCAGTACATCTTTACAGAGGAGCTCTGGTAGCACAGTGCCTAAGGCACTCGTTTGCTAACCAGAAGGCTGGCGGTTCAAATCCACCAGCCACTCCTCAGAAGGAAGGCTGGGCAATCTACTTCTGTAGTGATACCACCTCGGAAACCCAAGGAGGGGTTGCTGAGTTGGGTCCGACTCGACAGCACATAACAACAACAACAACAACAACTTTTTACATCTTTATGGTAGCGAATTGCCCAGTCTTCCTTCTGCGGAATGGCTGGTGGGTTTGAACCACCAACCTTCTGGTTAGCTGTCATAGGCCTTAGGTACTACCTAAACCAATGCAAGTGGCAGGTGTTGCAGTGGAGAAGATGGGCTCCTAAGGAATTGAAGGACATTGATAAGAATGGGAATGAGAAAGAAAGGAGCCGACCCACACAGAAATGCTTCAGAAGATGCCACGATGAGCAGGTAAACTCACTCAGCAGGAATGGACAGTGATGGGCTGGACAAAGAGGAGGGAAACTATGGGTTGGGATACAGGGTGAAGTAAAACAACATTTCAGTTGTTTGCCACTGGCTGGGCCTTAAAGCACCCTCATAGACACAGGCACTTCTCCCCAAACTCCCAGGGGGCGAAGAGACTAGGGCTCTACATTCAGGAGCACAGGAAGCTTCTAGTCACAAAATGGTCCAGAGTCTAACGTGCTCTAGTGAAGGGGGCAAACAAGAGCTGGTTGAAAAATGGAAATCAAGTGTCAATCAAGAAACAAAGGAGTTATGAGAAAAGCCTTCAGGCTACTTCTGTTGGATCTGAATTCTCTTAGCTGCTCAGGCATAAGCTGAAAACTCTCCCTCCCAGCCAGCTACCATGAGGACAAACAGCAGGCCCAGGCTGCACAAGGTTGACAATGACAGGTTCTACCAAATTTACTAGGCTAAGGAGCTCTGGTAGCATAGTGGCTAAAGCACTTGACTGCTAACCAGAAGGCTGGCGGTTCAAACCCACCAGCCACTCCTCAGAAGGAAGGTTGGGCAATCCTACTTCCGTAGTGATACTGCCTCGGAAACCCAAGGAGGGGTCGCTATGAGTCGGGGCCGACTCGACGGCACATAACAACAACAACAACAAGCTAGTCTGCACAGTAGCTCAGAAGCCAGTCCTGCAGGCAGCCTGAAAGCCCAAGCCAAACTCGTGAGGAAAAGGAGCACACCGCCCAGGCCTGGGGACAAAGGGCCAGTGGTCTCAGGCAGCAGATTGATTTGCTCAGGGACTGCAGGTGGTTAAACCCACTCAGAGTGAGCACGAGTGCCTGTTCCCTGAAGCAGTCAGCCTGGGCCTCCCAACAGCCATAGGAACAAGGTCTGAGAAAACAATTCTCAGCTCTGGCCAGTACCAGCCAGTCCTTCAACCACTACAATTTTCACAGGTCTCTGAACCTGCTGGGAAACTCTGGTGCCTTGACAGTGTCATTGTGTTTTTGTGGAATGCCTATTCCAACATCCAAGCTCCTATTCATATCACAAGACTGAATCTAAACGTTTTTTCTCTCAAACCTGCTCTCAGGCAAGGGCAGCCTGTACTTTCCAATTCTGCTTTCCTGTCACAGTACCGGAACACATCTTTCAATGACAACAGCCTTATTTTACAAGCCTGCTAGCTCTTCAGTGTTCTGGAGGCTGGGGGTGGGAAGGGGGTAGCTCTGAGGTATCACTACAAACCCAAGTAAAGTTTGAATGAATGGAAACAAACTAAAGCTTGCAAACATTTGTGGCCTAATCTTATCTGGGCCGCGCAGTTTTTGATTTGCCTTAATCCCAGAAGGAGCAGAACCAGGGTGGGCCACCTTGCCACTGGAAATTAGTTTTGGAATAATGGCAAACCCAGAGCCTAGAGCTCTTATTCAAGAGGGGAAGGACGAGTTGCAGAGAAAGAAGGTGCCTCCTCAGCACAGCAACCAAGCCCAAGCCTGGGACCTGGCATACAGAGATCAGACCAGGCCTCTGCATCAAGGTGAAAGAGTTGAGGCGCCGGGCCAGTTATAAGAACACCCGCAGACGGGCCCGCGGATTCAGGGAAAAAGCCTCACCTTCAGGCTTGGCGTTGAAGGACGAGGCAGCACAGCCCGACGCCGGGATGGAGTGGGGCCGCACCCTGGGTCTGCGCCTTAAGCGATACACGCTCAACCCTCTACCGCGACGACCCAGGTTAGCCTTTACTGGCCGGGAGGATCCAGAAGTGGTCCTGAGGGCCTTAATAAAGGTTCTGACCCGTGCTGCCCTTCTGCCCGCCCACTGAGGACCCACCCTCTCTGTCCCCGCTCACCCCCCGTGGGCCGGTCCAGCTTGAGAATGTCCCGCAGGTGCTGCGTGGCGTCCTCGATGTCGATGCTCGCGCAGGAGGAGGCCATGGGCCCCGCCACGGGCGCAGCGCCCGCGCTGGTTAATTACCCTGCCGCCGCGTACCGCACCGCCGCGCACCGGCGTGTCGGGGCCAGACGGCAGGACACCGGTCACTACACTCAGTCCACCCGCAGCCCGACAACCAACGCCCGCTCCGCGTCCCTAAGCCCCGCCAACCGCACTAACCGCCTCCACTTCCGGCCCGCCGAGTCTCTGCTCCCGGAACCTGCACCCAACGGAGAAGAAAGGTTCCGGGCTGGGGGCTACGCCACGCCCATCTCCGGAGCCTTTCCCCAGCAGTGTCTGCACGGTCCCGGGCAGTTACGCGGGGTTAATATTGAACGCGTCCATGTATTTCGCGGCTCAAAGCCATAAGCGCTTCAGATCCCGCCCGGACCGTCCCCACTCCCTGGGCATGAACTTTTTGATGGGCTCGATCCAGCAGCCCAAACTGAGGTCTCTCAGACAGCTGAGCCGCAGGATTTCCCTTTGACGATATGGGTCCGTGCAAACCCTTAGGACCCGCGAAGTCCTAAGGCTGGGGAATGGCAATGGCAGGGGAGATGGTCCCACTAAAATGGCCAGTCATTGTTCCCTACTGCCTCAGCATCCCCTTGCCTCACCTGATACCCTCAGGCAGGAAGAAAGAAGCCATCATTTGTAAACACCTCTTTATTGCAGACATTTCAGGCACAGGTACATGGAAGCAGCTGTATTGCAGATTTGATACACGGTGGTTTACAAGGCAGCAGCCATCTACCTCTCCCGGGCCCCAATACACAGCAGCCAGGAAACCAGTCCCACTGAATCTCCCGAGTTTGCAGTCTTTTCGAACAGCAGACCATCTAGCCCTGTGCCCAGTGTAGCCAGGCTACCTGTGAGGTTTGAGTCTTTGTCATCCATCCACAATGGGAGGGTAGTGGTGATGGTGTCTGTTTACAGGTTAGGCTTAGCTGTGGTGCCCTAACCAATCCTAAAACCCCCTAGCTGGAGCATCAGCCCAAGATCTCAGGTTGGTTCTAGCCTACAATTGCCACCTTACCAGCAGATTCACACCACCCAGTGTTCTCAGGGCTGAGAGGCTAGATTTACACTGGGCAAGGCCTGTTCTCAAAACTGAGAAGCAGAAAGTGCTAACAGCTAAGACTTCCTGGGACTTAAACGTAGTGTGACAGTGTGTATGTGTGGTGAGGGAAGGAATAAAAGGGAGGCCTAGAGATGTCCCAGGGAGCTCTGGTAGTGTAGTGCCTAAGGCACTTGACTGCTAACCAGAAGGCTGGGGGTTCAAATCCATCAGCCACTCCTCAGAAAGAAGATGGGGCAATCTACTTCTGTAGTGATACTGCCTTGGAAACCCAACGAGGGGTCGCTACGAGTCAGGTCTGACTCCATGGCATATAACAATAAGACATGTCCTGCAGAGGTTTAAGGGGTAGAACTTAAGGGCCACAAAACCCTTAAAATCAGTCTCAGACTGACTTCTTCCGCAGTTCCAACTGTATATTCCAACTCAACTGGGCATATGGCTCTGTGGTCATCAGAGGCTGGCTGTTGACCACTCACCTTTGGGCAATGATATATAAAGCAGGTAATACAAGATCTGATTTGCCTTCTCTTGGCTTAGAGGTTGTGGGAACCTTGGATGAGGTCCTGACCCTTCTGGGGTCAGGGGTATAAGAGCAAGCCTCTTTTGTCCCACAAACATCTGCTCATCCTTTATCTTACTGAGACCCAGCCCAGAAGACCTGGACCTGATGGGATTTTACCAAGGTCTCTCCAGCTTCAAGGGGATTCAGGCTCATCTTCTTCCTAGACAGCCCAGCTGTCATAATCAGAGGCATCTCTCCAGCTACCAGAGCCCTAAACCTACCCGGGACAGAGGTCACCAGGTGTCAGAAGAGACCTGAGCCCTCACCTGTCTGCATGCAGTCTGCAGCTCACTTACTCAAGGCTAGGAGGCTGGCGTGGGGCCACACATGCCCTGTAGGCCACCTGAGAGAAGCCAGCCTAGAGTGCTGCTGCAACAGTTTTCTCCTTACAATAGGTATTGCTGAGTTAGGGCAGAGGTAGGAAGGTGAGACGTGAGAAAGACAATAGGGCAGAGTAGTTCTTGATGCCCAGCCAACTAGTAAACTAATTAAAACAATTTAAACTGTTAAGAAAATTTTTGTGGTTTTATTGTATAATGAGGCATTGAAACATCTGAACAAATCAATATCTGGGTGGTGAGGCAGCTGCTTTCTCCTTCACTTCTTTGGGTTACTAGAGCAACTTGTCAGTAGATTTAAAAAATAAAACAAAAACCAAAAAAAAAAAAAAAAAAAAACCTTTTGCATTACTTAAGTCTTTCCAAGGCATGCGCTGGTACAACACAAACTTCTCCTGTCAGATGCAACTAGTCTAGTGTCCAAACATCATGCACAACACCCCAGTGGCAGCAGCGCACTGCACCCACTCCCACCGCGGCCCTGCTCATTTGTGTATGATATTTGGAGCATCTGGAGGAGTGTGAATAGTATCGGGAAGAGGAGGGAGGAGGAAACAGCATGAGTGCCTGGCTGGGACGAGGTCAGCCGAAGTTGTGCAGAGCAAGCCTGAACATGTCATTGGTGCAAACCCAAGCATCATTGATGTTCTTTAATAGGAACATCTGGTGAAAGCCCATGATGGGATCTTCATCGGCCTAAGAGGAAAGAGAAAACAGGTCAGTAAGAGGACCAAAGAACAGGAGGGAGATTCAATGGTAGAAGAGCAGGACAAAGGATGCTGACTTTGGAATCAGCCCCTACAGTCATGGACTCAAATCCCAGCAGTTAAAGAGTACTTGTGGATATGAACTGATACATATAAAACGCTGTACTGGGCACATAACACATAGGATGGCCATCACACTGTGATGCGTTTCAACTGCAGATCAACTCACCAGTTAGCTACAGCAACAGAGCAGAAAACACACCTGTCTCTAGGCACAAGTGATCACAGTTTTGAAAGAATCCCACAGTGCTCACCACATTGATGTACAGTATCCAAACTTGTTAACATTCTAAGGGTCTGAGAATGTCAGTCCAATCTGGAGAAACTACAGTTAACACTGCTGTGGCCAAGAAAAAAGTTTGTGAGAAAACCGAGTTCACAATGTGACCACAGCTCTACGCAGGGAGAAACAAAGCATGTCTGTCGAGTGGTCTGTTTGCTGTCATGTAGTGTTGTTGTAGTTGTTGTGTGCTGTCGAGTCAGATGCGACTCATAGCGACCCCTCCTTGGGTTTCCGAGGCAGCATTACTATGGAAGTAGATTGCCTCATCTTCCTTCTGAGGAGTGGCTGGTGGGTTTGAACCGCCAGCCTTCTGGTTAGCAGTCAAGTGCCTTAGGCACTATGCTACCAGAGCTCCCTGTCATGTAATAGATGACATTTATAATGAAAAAGGAAAGGAAAGAGACTTCCAGCCAAACTGCAGAAAACCAGGCTGAGGCCCGATGTAGAGGTCCAAGAGCCAAGCAACCAGGCTGGTCTCTAACATCACCTCTTTTTCTAGGAGTTATCAGCAGGAAGGAGGCAAATCAAGCTTTTGAGGGCTCTGAGTTGAAGAACCAAAAGCCAAGTGGGAGGGGGCACTGTTTACTGATCCTAGCAACTCCCTGAAGAGGATCCTCAATCCCCAGGGCCATGTCGGGCAGGGTATCTAGGCAGGCAGGTCCTTCTGGGTCTACTACACAGACCTAGGGGCCCCTCCACTCTTGTATGGGACCCTGAAACCCCCTCACACACACACCTAGGAAGAAGGCACGTGAGCCTGTTATTCTGAGCTACCACATAGGTCCAGGGGGTGGGACCTGCCAAAGGCAATTTGTCCTGTTTTGGGAAAAAAGAGATTTTCAGAAACTGAGAATCTGGCCTTGGTCTGCAGGGGTACAACAGGTAGGAGTTCCTGGTGGCTGAGGAACCACAGGAAGGCTTCAAGGGTGACAGGTCCTGAGAAGGGAAGGGGCAATGCTGAAAGGAGTTTCAGCACCCTGCTGTGCCCAGGAGCCAGCAGCCAGCCTGGAGAGTGGTAGCATGGACTCCACTAGGGGACTGCGGGCCCATCCATACCTCACAGCACCACAGCCCTGTCTTGCCCTCACTCCTCCAGTCTCTTTTCCAAAAAGACTAGACCAGCGCTCTCTAGTAGAAGCTTCCATGCACTATCCAACAGGCAGCCACTATCATGTGACTACTGAGCACTTGCAATATGGCTAATGCAGATGAAGAACTCAATTTTTAATTAATGCAATTTAAATGTCACCACATGTGGCTAGTGGCTACACAGTTCTGGGCAATCACTTTGTCTGAATGTCCTTTATGAGCAGGTCACATCCACAGGGAAGGCAGGGGCTCAGGATCTTTTCTGCCTGCCAACTCCTCCCTAGCACTGCAGCAACTGTTACCTTGAGCTGGCCCACCACCATGCTGATGATGCAGCTATCTGGCGTGGGCTGATGGTCCTGCGCCGTGATGCTGTGCTGGATTTTCTGGAACGGAAGGCTCTGCAAGACAAAGAATGGGCAATGGGCACGAGCAGCAGGGAAGCAGGCTGCCTGCACCTGGCTCTGACCCTTACTTACAGACAACTTCTCCACAATGGCAGCTTTCCCCTGGAACTGCTGTCCTTCCCACGTAAGGCATGATGCGTCAATCTGGGATAAAAAGAAAAAGAGAAAAAAAAAAAAAAAGTACCAGAAACCCCAGGGTCAGAGCATCAGAGCGCAAGGAGTATCTTGGAGGGCTCTGGCCAAGGCTCTGAAAGGGGTCTTGCTTGGAGAAATAAATCCGTACTTCAGTTTTTCTGTCTGTAAAGATGGACTGTAGGTTGCTTCCAAACTTTGTACTAGCTTTACACTAATTTCTTTGATGACACTCATCATCCCATGGGTCCAAGCTTAGAGCCTAAAGACTGTTTAACAAAGTACATTTATTCTCAGTTTTCATTCAAGAATTCATATGGCATCTGATATGCACAGGCACCAGGTTGGCCATATGTGGTCATGGTTTAGCGAAAAGCTACCCTGCTGCACGGTCAGTCAGCACTGGTCCCAAAGTAGCCATCAGAGATAACTCTCTTGTTCATCGTCACCTTCAGGACTCAGGCTGAGTTCCACTGAGGCCCTTCCAGCCGGCCTGCTAGTTCAGGGAGGAAGGGAGGCCTAACGATCTCCCAAGGCCGTCTGGGGCCTTCACTACCCTCGACAGGCACACGCACCCCATTAACTCAGCTCCCTCCTCTCCAAGTCCTCCATTCCACAGCCTTCAGTGCAGAACTAAAGACTGCCTCAGCTACTTACCTGCAGTGACATTAGGTGAGTCACTTATTTGTCTGAGTTTCAGGTTTATAATATCCCAAGGGAAATGTTCTGAGATTTTAGGAAATGGTGTACACAAAGTACTGTTTTAGTACCTTGCTAACTCTCTTCTCTATGCCACGCACACTTTCATTGATTTTAATAAGTAATGAGACATTTTGAGCTTTATGCTCTTTAAGAACTATCTATATAGAATCAAATGGAACTCTGGTAGCGTAGTGGTTAAAGGATTTGGTGTTGACCAAAAAGTCAGCAGTTCAAACCCACTAGCCACTGCAGGAGAAAGATGAAGCAGTTTGCTTCCATAAAGATTTAAAGCTTTGGATACCCTGTGTGGCAGTTCTACTCTGTCCTACAGGGTCACTAAGAACTAGAATTGACTCGATGGCAGTGGATTTGGTTTTTTGGTTTACATGGAATCAAACTGACAATCGCAATTCAAAAGATTAGATAGGAGCCTCAGAGGGTACTGGATTTATGTTGATGGAGGTAACAACTCAGGAGGGTGAAATAGTGGCACAGTTCAGATTGTCACCAATGCCACTGAGCTGTACATATAGAACTGTTGATTAGTGTATGTTTGCTATATGTATTCTCAACAATAAAATGACTTAAAAAACACAAAAAGTAGTAGTAATGAGGCAAAGATCAGTTCAAGATTTTTTTTTATTCTCTACCAATGATAATGATAATCAAATCAAACCTGTGCTGGCTTTGGCTTCCACTGGTAGGAGCCCTTTCTTTTCCGTAAAACTCAACGGACCCTCTGAGTCCACTGACTTTTTGGAGGCAAAGAGAAGTTTTCCTACAGTCCAGCCAGGCTCTGAGGGTATGCCTGGATCATTCCTATAGTCCTCACCCTGGGCAGATGGTCTAGGCGGTGGCCTAATCGATCACACTTCTGTGATGGAATCACAGGGAGAGTCAAGTGCAAGGAGCTCTTGGTGTATATAAACACCATTAAAAGAATAGCAAACCATGTCTGCATGGAAGGGTTTCTCAACAACACTCCAGTCTCCCTGAGCTAAACCTGTTTCTTTCCCATAAGCATGCAAGCAAAGTCTTTCCACCCCCAAAAGGAAGCTAGACTCAGAGCCTCCAGGAGAGCTCAGCTTTGTACTTGGATGCTCAAGGCTGCTGCCACCAGAGGGCATCATGAGCCCTGGCCTCTGCCCACTGTTGTCCCAACATGAAACAGAGGCATGTCCCAGACACGTGCCCTGCTAGGGTTCTGGACATATGGAATGGCAAGGTCAGAACACCCTGCCTAAGATACCAGGACCCTATTCTTACGAAAGATGATAAAGTGGACAATGTTAAAACCAGGTGGCTAGACCAGGCCTCAGATCTCCTATCCCATAAACAGAAGCTCAAAAAGAAGAGTCCAGCCAAGTTCAACCAGGGCTGCCAAAACTTGACTGTGAATTGGACACCCTGGCCCAACATCCGATTTGATCCTCTATAGCCCCACTCTAACCCTAAAGCTAGAGACTTACATAAATCGCGCCTAGTTGGGTTCTGTCGTTATCAAATAACTGGTAGTAATGTTGAATGAAGCTGGATCCAATCTGTTCCCAAATTGGCTTGTCTCCCATTCTGGAGCGTCGCCCGGCCTCGATGAGACCTGTGGAACCAGCAAGAGACAAGGAGGAAAGAGTTAGTACTGCAGGAGAAGGGAGCTAACTCCTTGCTCTTCACTGACCCCAAACCCTCCCTGGCCTCTTTGAGAGGGAATCCTTTGCTGAGGTATGTTCTCCTGGGGAACACTGAGAGGCCCTGGGGAACTGGTAAGAGACTGCTTCCAAGCCAGACCAGCCCAGGGAGCCCAGAGATAGACCAGACGCAGCCCTTCCTTTGATAAGCTCTTGGTTGATGAGACAGAGGGGTGCCAATGTGGTAGAGCATACAAGATATAGGATGGCTGCTGAGGGTCATGCCATGGCCAAAGAAGGTCAGAGAGGGCCCTTCTGAGATCACTAAGGGGAGAGGCCTTTAAGAAGGAGCTGAGCACTCTATCTTCTCATTTAATACTCTCAACAGGCTGCAAAGGCATAGTTACTGCTATTCCTCCCACTCTGCAAACCAAGGTGTGCTGGCTGAGTATGGAATGTTTGACTGCAGCCCTCAAGGCCCCAACATTGCCCCAGGGCTATAGTGGCAGGTGGAAGAAGACCCTGTGAGAGTGGGAAAGATGCTCTCCAAGCCCCACTTCTCCTAAGAACTGCAAGTGACCCAAATCTCAAGGGAGCAGTTTACATCTCTAAGGCCAGGTGACATGTAGACCGGCCCCTGCTAGGGTACTTCTTCACTGGTAAGAGTGACTCACCCCTCTGGTTCAGAGTGATGGGCATGAATTCAGAGGCTCACAGAGAACAGCTGAGGGGAGCAAGAGGGGAAATGGAGGCTATGTGCAGGAAAACCATGTCTTCTCTTCACATCTCTCCTTCTCAGCATTGCCTCTACCCCAAGGGGGTACTACCTTTCTTGTTGCTGAAGGGAGCCCTCCCTCCCAACTATACAACCCAGGCCCCATTCCCAGGCTGGATGGGAAATCCAAGTGCCAGATGAGAGAGCCACTCTGGCTTTGCCAAGCCCCTGCCAGGCAGGGATGCCACATCTCACTGCAGGATGCCATGAGAGCTACCCCACTTGTCATTCTGTAGTTATCTCTGGCCATGACAGGAAAACTCTGAACCAAAGCTGTGAGGAGGTGGACTTAACCTCGGCCAACGATAATTTGCAGTGGTGGGATATGATGCCAGCCCCTGCTCTTCTCAGGGCCTAATGTCCTCTCTGAAAGATGGGGATGGTAAGATGCTGCCAGGGGTTGCAAAGCTTCCCTAAAGGAACCTGTAAAGCCCTCAGCTCAACACGCTAAGTGGTAGTTTTCCGGCCCTTGGTCCCTGTGACCTCACCCAAGGCCAGAGCAGCCAGAGGGGAGGGATAGTGGCTTATCTTCAGCCCAGCCAATACCCAAACCTGTGACCAACACTCTAGCCAATAAGGGGCCAGGAAGATGAGCCAGCTTTATTTTAGGTCCCTTAGGAGGTAGCACTGCTAAAAATAGAAGCTCCCTGCCGGGATGACTAAGAAATGTCCAGGAATGTCTAAAAGAAGCAGAAAAGAGAACTAGGACCCAGCCATGCCTGCTACACAAGAACACAAAGTGTGTCCCAGTCCACACTTAACCGAGAAGCCAAGGCAACAAGTGGGGAAAAGCAAAGGACCAACATCTAGTCTCCGCAAACTTGGGTTTTGTAAGGCAGAGCCCAACTCTGCCCACCACAAGCATCTCTGCCCTTTCCACCCTAGCATCCACTAAGCTTAGTTCACTCACTGAGGCTCGACCCTGCTGAGGCCCCCTCAAGATGCCTTGGTAGCCCCCAGAGTTCCGGGGCAGGGGGCTGGGCTGGAGGAGTGGATGAGGGCCATCTCTCCTTCTGCCCTGGGCCCAGAACAAGGCTGGACAGCCCCTGGGGGCAGTCTTGGAGAAAGAAGAAACATCATCAGCAAATATCTGGAGGCATGAGAAAAAAAGATGAGAAAAGGAAACCAGGACATTAGAAAAGGCGGGTGGGAACTAAGGATGGAAGCTGATCTGCAGATAAGGAAAGTACCAGCACATGGTGAGACAGTGGGGTGGAGGAAGTGTGGGACTATTTTTTCCATTTTCAATATTGCTCTTAACAGTGTGATAATTTTATAACGCAAAAAAGGGGTGGAAGGATAAAGGAATAGAGGGTCTTTTGGTCTGGTGGAGTGGGCAGGGCAGAGGGGCATGGAGTAAGATCTCCTGAGGGACAGGACAACTCAGGGGCTCCCAGAAAGTACAATGAACCTTCCAAACTACTGGACTGAGGCTTTTGGTTTACAGATGCCAAAAACAGGCTCTGGCCAAGAGGGCTGGGGGTCCCCTGTGGTCAACACCAACCTCTCAGAGGCCTGCTTGACCTTCACATATTTCCATGTAGTGATCCCAGCAGCCGGGTGGTCAGATTCCACTGTCATCCCGTTTTACAGGTGAGAATACCGAGGTGCAGCGAAGTGGTGGTCTTGCCCCAAGCTTGTCCAGTACATCAGTGCTGACAGCTGGGTCTTTCCTCTGGCCAAGGCCAGTGTATTCCTTCTGCTAGCTCTGGGCATCCCTGAGTTTTTCTAAAATGCAAAGCTGGCCATGGCCCTCGCCAGCAAGACTGTGGCCTTTGGGTAAAAGCCAGCCCTGTGAGTGCCGCAGGTGGCCATCCACACCTATCCCTGCCCTCCCCCACAGCCATTCCCTTTTACCTCAATCCAGATCCATACACAAACACCAGACCCCAGTGGGCACTGGCCCACCAGGTTTTTGCACAGCTAAGTCCCCTTGCCAAAATGTCTTCCCTTCCCTCATCTGCCTGGTCAGTTCCAGCTCTTCCTCCAAGTCACTGTTTAGGCCTCACCCATCAAGGGACTCCATCTCAAACTCAAAGGAACTCTGGTGGCATAGCGCCTAAGGCATTTGACTGCTAACTAGGAGGTTGGTGGTTCAAACCCACCAACCATTCCACAAAAGGAAGACTGAGCAATCTACTTCCACAAAGATTTACATCCTCAGAAACCTAATGGGGGTCGCTATGAGTCAGAATCGACTCAATGGCAGTGAGTTTTTTTTTTTTTTTTCCCAACCCTAGACTCAAATGCTGACCCCACAGCCCCCTCTAGGCCATGTTCTCTTTCACATGTAAACCCATCCTGCAGACCTGGGGCCTACTCCTCTGCCTGGGAGCACTGTGGCTCTGGGCTCTGAGGCTCCATTGTGCCCTCGCACAGTGTGGCACGGCAAACTGCAAGATTTATGGCTTCAGATTCCAATCACTGTGCTAGATCCACTTCCCACCTCTCTCAATTCGTGGCAGGGAGGCAGCATTCCTGAGTTTAAAGAAAGAAGCAGGGTGCTGATCCCTCCTCCCATTCCGATGTAATGCAGGGGAGGGGGCCGGGCCTGGCTGACGAAGCACTCCCCAAGATGGCTAGCAAGCCCTGACCTTGAATCCAACACACTGACAGCAGAAATAACAAGCTTGGATGTACGCAAAATAACAAGGCAGAGGTAGCCTCACGCCAGACTGGAGACTGACCTTTATGACAGCTTCTCCTGCAGCTCTTCCAAGAGGGTTGCTAACCATGCCATCTCCAGCTTCACCCCAACAGTCTGCAGGCTGACTGAAGCCAGGCTCCACGAGGAGCAGAAATGACCTCTTGCCTACTGAGCACTGGCCTTTGCTGACCTTTACGTCTCTGTAGGTGCAAAGACCTTCTAAGACTGTCTCGAACACTGTAGCCCCCATGTGTGCATCTACACAGGCGCAGAGCCAGCCTTGTGAAAACTTTCAGGTTGTTCAGACTTGCTTAAGTTCAGTCATAGGACCCAGTTAAGACCTCTGGTCCAGGAGATCCATTAAGCAACAAAAAAACTTCACTTTCATCCTCAAATTCTGAGGCAGTGTTTTCAGAAACAAAACTCTTGAAGTAGCAGTGACTGGCTGATAAGGTACCATTTTCACTAATGCTTATTCGTGTAGAAATGTACTCAGGGCTTCCCATGCTAACAACACCCTGTGAGTAAAGTATACTCGGTGTTAATATGCTCCATGTTAGTGAGGTTAACTTGCGAAAGGTCAACCAGTCCACTAAAGTGGAATGGACTGAACTAGTTTAGTGGACTCCAGAGTCAGGATTCCCAACAACGCCCTGGTCTGGAGATGAAAAACAGACCATGTCAGCGAGAGTGCTGCTCCGGGCACGCAGGGCTTTAGCCTGGGCCTGTGAGAGGGGCAAGCAGGCTGGAACCAAGGCTTTTGCCTCCAAAGGTGCCAGGCATATTTCCACACCAAAATCACCAGTCCCAACGATGAGCATTTTCATGGGGGATGGCCTCATGGCTTTTCCAAACCTTCCAAGTAGGGACAGATCCTGGCCTAGCTGGACCTGGGGGAATAGGGACAGAAGAGCAACAGAGAAGGGGATGTCATTAGCTCCAAGCTGGTACACAGAAAGATGCTCCTATGTCTGAGGAGCCATCACTAAGGCCCACAGGGGAGTTCAGCGGATGTGCCAAACCCCCAGTGCAGCCCGTGAAATTAGGTGCCAACCTGGCCATGTCTCTTATACCTGCTGAAAGCCAGGCTCCAAACACAGCTCTGCAGTCTACGAAGGGCTCCTCCAAGAGAGGGAATGACAGCCAACTGTGGCTTAAAACCTAATGGGCCCATGTGTTGGAGGTGAGATGGGTAGGCTGTCACCAAAGACAGGAAGACACACCTGTCCTCCAGGAACTAACCACTCCCCTGATTTCACAGTCTGAGGGGTGCTGGGTATCCTGTCTATGGCCCTCCAATGATTTCCCATCACACCTGGAATACAGGCCCCAAACACTTCTCCTGCCTTTAAAGCCCTGGGTGATCTGGCCCTACCGGCTCTCCAACCTCATGTTCCCTACCACCTGTTCCCACCCTCATCTGCAGCTACACTGGGCACCTTCCTGTTTCTACAACATGCCAAGCCTGTTTTCACCCCAGGGCTTTGCAACTATTAATCTTTCTACCTGCATCATTCTTCCCCTAGACCTTGACCATCATGTGGCTCTTT